TATCACAGATTTGCAGGTTTTATTCAGACTATTGGATTTTGCGGCTGCAAGTCTGACACATCACTTTTCATCTTCACGCATGCATCGGGGACCGCCTACCTCTTGTTGTATGTTGATGACATTGTTCTCACTGCCACCTCGCCAGCACTATTACAGAGTCTCATTCAGAAACTCAAGGCTGAGTTTGCTATGACAGACATGGGTGACCTGCACTTTTTCCTCGGCATTAATGTCCATCGCACAACTCAGGGTCTTTTTCTTCATCAGACACAGTTCACCCACGACATTCTTGAGCGGGCAGGGATGGTCTCCTGTCGCCCCATATCCACTCCAGTCGACACGAAGGCAAAGCTCTCCTCCTCCTCCGGCACGGCACTTCCCGATCCCTCCCTTTACAGGTCCATAGTTGGAGCTTTGCAGTATCTCACATTCACCCGACCTGATATCACTTATGCCGTTCAGCAGCTCTGCCTTCACCTGCATGCGCCTCGCGACTCTCACCTCACGGCACGGTCCAGTGCAGAGGCAGAATATCGGGCTGTGGCCAATGCTGTTGCAGAGACATCCTGGATTCGGAATCTACTCCTAGAGCTCCGGCACCCTACGGCGTGCCACCCTTGTCTTCTGTGATAATGTCAGTGCCGTCTACCTCTCATCAAATCCGGTTCAGCACCAGCGCACCAAGCACGTTGAGGTCGACATCCACTTCGTGCGAGATAAAGTCGCACTCGGCCACATAAGAGTTCTTCATGTGCCTTCCTCCTCCCAGTATGCCGACATCTTCACCAAGGGACTGCCTTCTTTGCTCTTCCTCGAGTTCAAGTCTAGTCTGGGTATCAGACCACCTCCACACCCGACGTAGCTGGGAGCATGTTAAATATATTCTATATTTAATGTAAATATATTCTTTCCTATTATTGACTCCTATTGTGTATAGGAATAGGAATCTCATGTCTATATAAACACATGTACTCCCACATATTCTTTCAATGAAAATAATCTTTCTACAGATAGCCGTCCGAAGCTGGTGGTCGGATCGCCGGAAGGGTACACCGGTCACGTTGACGGGAAGCTAAGAGAAGCAAAGTTGAACCATCCCAAAGGGTTTGCCGTCGACGACGCCGGAAACATATATGTTGCAGATACTATGAATTCGGCAATCCGGAAAATCAGTGATTCTGGTGATTAGTTTTCATTATTATTATTATTATTGAAATTTATTATTATTATTATTATTATTATTATTATTACAAAATACTTCTTTTTCACCTTAGAACTTGGATTATATTACGACCCGGGAGCCCTACGGTGCTTCGTTCATAAAATTGATAGTTCTACCACCTCTAAACTTTATCCCCTGCCCCTACCTCCCTCTTCCCCGTTCGTAAAATATTGTAGCCAATCGGCGGAATGGAAAGGGGGCAGGGGTGTTGTGGTGGGGTGGGCAGGTACGGCGCACGATGTAGGGTTTAGGGTGGAGGTTAGGTGTAGAAACCATCAATTTTATGAACGGAACACCACAGGGGCCTCGAGACATTATATGACCCGAGGGTCTAAGGTCAAAAGATCCTTACCCTTACTACTACTACTACTATTATTATTATTATTATTATTATTATTATTATTATTATTATTATTATTATTATTACAACTCTCCATTTTTATAAGACTTTCTAAAAGTCCAATTCTGAAGACCCAACAAATATTCGGACAAAAAAGTAAGCTCCGAAATTTGGGCTTTCAACGAAAAATATATATAATGAGAGTCCATTTTGTTCCATAATAAATACAGGAGTGGTGACAATAGCGGGCGGAGGGAAATGGGCCCGAGGAGTGGCCCACATGGACGGGCCCAACGAAGATGCGAAATTTTCGAGCGATTTCGATTTGGTTTACGTTGGAAGCAGTTGCTCCCTTTTGGTGATAGACAGGGGAAATCAGGCGATTAGAGAGATTCAACTTCACCAGGATGACTGTTCTGATCCCCATTATCATCATCGTCGTCATCGTCATCGCGAGGACGACGATGACGACTCCAATCTCCACCATCTAGGTAAATAACACGCTCTTTTTGTAATAGTTTTTGCGTTTTGAAAAGAAGAGAAAAGAATAGTGAATCTAACGAAACCATTTAGTTTTGACATTTTTAGTTAACATGTACGGAGTACATTTTTAACATTCATACTTACATTGCATTTTTAATGTTAATAGGTACATTTTTAACATTGATATATCATTTTTGAGTATGATATGATAAACTATTAGTAAATAGATATAATAATGGTCTTAGTAGGGTAAGAATAAGGTTCTCCTCAATTTATTTATTTTACTTATTGCTTATTCTTATTGAAATCATACCATACTAGATCAGATTAGATCATATTAGAAATAGGTTTTATTATAACTACATTCTGATCAGATCAGATTACATCACACCTGATAAGAACTTATTCCAATCGAATTAGGTGAAGAGAACATGGTCTAAATAAGATAAAAGTGATTTTTAATAGAAATGTGAAGAATATTTGGGGACAGGAAAAGAGAAAGGAGAATGAGTTTTAAGGACATGAAGTACTAATTAAATTAGGAGTAAAACATAGTAAAAGTATCTAAATAAAAGTTCCATGTTTTTATTCTTAAAATTAGAATCAAAATGTCAATGATGTCAACATGTATTACCAAAAAAATATTGTGGAAAGCTAATATAAAGTGTTACACTGTCACACTGTAAAATCCTATTTTGGGTCAAATATGTAATACGGAGTATGTTAAAGAGGAATTTACTTAAATAGCACTAAAACATAATGACTTTTTCTAAATAGCATCACATGTGTTTTTCTTCCCAATGTAGCACTTTTAGTCATTATGCATTAGTCATTATTCAAGCAAATATTCACCAACACTAAACATTATGGACATTATTAAGTGCTATCTAGAAAATAAAACAATTTAAGTGTTATTTAGAGAAATGACTTAAGTTTTATTGCTATTTAGTGCAAATATTTCTATGTTAAATACAATTTACTTACATTGTTGCAGGTATAGCACTGCTTGCCACGGCTGTTTTTTTAGGTTACATGATCGCATTGGTGCAACGTAGAATGGCAGCTCTGTTTTCATCTCACAGTGTAAGGATTATAAGTCACAAAATTCCTAAATGAACCTTTATTTTTCATATAAGAAATATAAATATTATATTCTTATATAAATAATAAATTATTATTATTATAATAAATATTTGCATTATTTTACTAATTTGCTCATATTAGAACTAAGAAATTAAAGGGTGTGGTATCATTTAGATCAATGAGAGAAGCACTCTTATAGTCTTTTTTTTGTTGGTCGTAGGATCTTGAGACTCCGACAAGGGGCATTTTGCCACCACCATCTCAATATCAGCTGAACGCGAAGCCGATTAGGCCTCCGTTGATCCCGCCGCCGGCGGAGGATGACGACGAATACGAGAAAACTGGCGAGAACCTGTTCGTTTCAATTGGGAGACTCTTTGCCGCCGCAAGCGCGTCCGTGTTTGAAATCTTCGGAGGGATGTTCTCGAGGTCGAGACCTAATAAAAAGTCTCGACCTCAACAGCATCACCACCACCACCACCGCCTTCAACATTACCCTTCTTACCCTAATTACGACAACCCCCCGGTCGCTCGGCCCTTGCAAGAGAGCTACGTGATCCCGCGCGAAGAAGAGCCGCCGCACTTGGAGCCCGTGGACCCGACCCCGAGAAATTCGTACTCTCACACCCCCCTGAAAGACGTCGAGAGGGCTCGTCATTTCAAGCAGAGCCGTCCCAACGCCACTTACAGTGGGTGGACTGGCGATCCGCGACAACAACAACTGCAACAACAACAACAACAACATCAGCAACAACATTATTATCAACAACAACAACAGCAACAACAACAACAGTTTCAACAATTGCATCGTCATCAAAAACACCGGGCCCCGAGCCCGCAGACTTACATCGAAAAGAGTTGCGAGACGAAAGAGATCGTTTTCGGGGCAGTCCAAGAGCAGGACGGACGTCGGGAGGCGATGGTGATTAAAGCGGTCGACTATTCCGACCCCGCGGCTTTCAATCGTTACAATGTCCGGTCGAGGTACAACTATAATGCCACCTATTCACATGGTTACAATTAACAGTGTAGTGTGCACTCAAACATCTATGTTTTTTGTTTTGTGGTCAGGAAGAGAATTGACATATGTTTGTTTCCCTTTGTTGGTTTCTTACCTGACATATGTAACATATGTAAAACCAAACTTCATATAGTAACTTAGTTCAAATCACATGTTGCTTTCATCATTAAACTCACTTGGCATGATCAATATCTTCATCTAATGGTGAATATAATCTAGAAGATCAAAACAAACAATTCAAACACATGCATTCCAATATTGAACCGTTAATGAACAAACTCAACTAAAAATTCAATCTTTTAATGAGAGGCAGAATAAATATTTTACCGTTTCTGGCCGCATGCGTCTTGGACCGGGAGTCTGAGACCTAACGGCTTGACACATATGCATTTGAGCCTTACTTGCGGGCCGGGTAGGGAGACGAAAAAGAGACAAAAGTAAATTGGTCAAACATCGTTAGAGTGGTGACAAAATGGCAATGACACAAAGGACCAAGGGATCGAGTATGTACACACAACTGTCACACAATTAACCAAATGATGATTAGATGTATACATATGTGTTGCATGCCTTCTCCAAATATAGAAACTCTTCTCCTTGCATTCTTTGCATATATACATACACTCTTTTTAGGGGTTTCATTTCTTTCTTGCAAGCACACTCTAGTCCCACCCTACCCCGCGGGCCCCACCTATAGTGCTGTTACCCTTTTAATTGTCTTGGAGCTAATATCAAAATTACACATTTTTAGAACGCCTCTCTTTTCATCTTTGAAGAGTTTTATGGGATGGGGAAAGTATATAATTCATCGTGATTATATTGCAGAAGCAATGACGTTTGGTTTTTTTAATTTTGTCATACTCCCTTCGTTTCTTAAAACCCTTCCTCTTTCATTTTTTTTGTTTTTCTTAAAACACTTCCCCTTTCTATTAAAAAACCACTTTTACCCCTACTTTTTCATACCCTACCTATCACATCATACTTTTTCACTAACAACTAAACTATCACATCTTACTTTTACCCATCACATCAAGGGCAAAATTGGAAAGTCAACTACAATTTAACACTTCCTTATTTTCCCCCAAAGTCAAAAGAGGAACTCTTTTGAGAAACTGAGGTAGTATAATTTAGAGTAAAAAAAAATTCTAAGAAAAATGATAAAGTGGAGATCAGACTAAAAGCCTTCAAATGTATGCATATGTGCAAAAAATTCACTCTATATCGTGTTTATACAACTTTGAATACTCCATATCATTTGCTTTTTCTTGCCAAAGAAATGTGTTTTTTAAACTTTTTCTTGGTCAATGTTCATAAATTTTAACTATAATATGTGGAGAGTTAATAACGGTCTAATTATAATCAAATGTTATATTGGAGAGTGTGAAAAGTTAAACATACTCACATTTTCATAGAACGAAAAACATATAATGATTGCCAAGTGTCAGAATAAATTTAAAGAATCCACGGGATACATCCAACGACAGAAATCGTTCAACGCTAGTGATGAAGACGACCATTATCTCGACAATCATGAATAATCGCATGTCCCGCTCCCCGGGGACTAGGACCCGAGACCTTGACCGCCTGAAAAGAAGTGACAAGTACTGCTTGGCGGGTTCGCGGCGGAGGATTGGCGGTGTAGAGGTGGCGGGAGTGAACGGAGACGACGAGGAGACTGAGGATCATGAACACGGCCGCGAGCGGTTCATGATGATGATGGTGATGCCCATGTTGGTTTCCCATGGTAACTTGCATGTTGTGATGATGATGATGATGAATATATGATGTAAACCCATATATTTATTTGCAGGTCTGTTTGGTGTATAAACTATGAAGGGGCATAAGGCTTGTATATTTATAAGAGATAGATGGAATATATGATGGATTGAAATGATGAGTGCCCAAACACGCCTCACTACTTAAACTTAGTATATAGAGACGGCTAAACTTCACTATCAGTCTTTCAACTTTATGAGTTGTGCATGATTGGTCCTTAGAGTTTCAAAAGTCAATAAATAGTCTTTCACCTTTATGAGTTATGCACGATTGGTCCTTCAACTTTCAAAAGTCCATAAATAGTCCTTCAAGTGCACGTCATCTGCCCTACAAATGAGGTCTTTTTGAAGGTAAACGTTAAAAGCTAAATAAAGTTGTAGCTTCATATAATAACGAATAGTCGTGCCTAGTAGAATTTACTCGTATAATATGGAACTAGTATTCCATTTAACTTTTAATATTTACTGTCAGAAGGATCTTATCGGAGGGCTGGCGTGTCATTGAAGGACTACTTATGGACTTTTGAAACTTGAAGGACGAATCGCACACGACTCATAAAGTTGAAGGACTATTAAGAGACTTTTGAAACTTGAAAGACCAATTGTGCACAACTCATAGAGCTGAAGGACCAATTGTAGATTTTAGCCTATAACAAAATGATTTTTGCATGGTGGAGACTTGGAAGCCAAGCTAACTAACTAATATAGGCTGATCAGTTAACGTACGTCCTCATCATCAACTATATACATATATTGCATGACAGCCATAACCCAACTTTATCGACTATGATAGAAATATGTTGTGAATGTAAGTTTGTGACATTGATGCCCATAGTGAGGACAAAAAGATTTCCTCACCAATCTCTTACAAGGTGATGGACATAACAAAACTATGTATGACCCGCTGCACTCGATTAAGGAGCTCAACGGTCTCAGAGGTGAGACAACCAAATGTGTCAAATGTAAATGGTATAAACACGTGTTGGTTCTGGGGGCACGCTCTCTCGTGTTTTGTCACTTTGTACTAAGCAGCTTTTAACGTATTCCGGCCCACCGTGAAAGCACCAGTCCCATGTTAAATATAATCCACATAAGTGTGTCTCCCACTCATCCATCCAAAATAGGGCTGTCAACGGATAGCTAAAAATCCGATTACCGTCCGCATCCGTATCCGTATAAAGAGGAAATATCCGCATCCGTTTTAAACGGATATTATCCGTATCCAATTAAGGATATCCGATTACTAAACGGATACGGATTTGGTAATTGTATACCCGATCCGTTTAAAATCCGATCCGAATATGCATCAATTTAAATAGCCGTTTATCTGAATATCTGATCCGTTATAAATAGCTTTTCCTAATTTTTTAAGTTTATATTTTGTTTTTCTATTGATATTTCTAAGTATAAGACATTTTTATATACTCCGGGTACAAAATAAATGTGTAGACACATAAAATCATGAATACAAAGAAAATAATTATCCCATAATAAATTATGGGATATTATGTTGATTTAATAACAGTTTGAATTTAATCCAATTTAAAAATAAAGTATTGTTTAATTTGATTTTAAAAATTGGAAACGGATACGGATATATCCGATATCCGACCAGTATCCTATGGATGCGGATACGGTTTTGATTTTCAGTATCCATTAATATCCGTATTCGAATTCGATATCCGACAAAAATAAACGGATACGGATTTGGTAATGACACATCCAATCCAGTTAATATCCGTTTACACCCCTACATCCAAAGACCAAAATGTCAGCTGGTCTAAGCGTGGATACTTCTTCAACGGGTCAATCAAGAAAATCACAGGTACTTTTTTCTTAACAGAATTCCTCACACATCAAAATATGTCAAAGAAAATGTTCTTGATGACCAAATCATGTCAGGACTTAAACCTCAGCACGTAGCTCGATCTCTACAATGTACAACATGCTCTCCAAATGGATCCAAAAACACCTTGCGTCAAACATGGTATAGGTCATGAATTGGAAATAAGGCTATCACGAGTTTATACTTGAAGATAGAACGATGCGGTATACGTACGCTGGCCAAGCCCATCTATGGGGATGGCAAGAAGAAAGTCTCGGGCATGTAGTACTCGTATACATTCTAAAACAACTTTTTTTCTAATGGTCATGTCAAAGTATATTTCACATCTTTGACGATTTTATGAACAAGTGCACTCGCTAATGCATGTTGGGGTTTAAGAGGCGTTGTCCTCTTTAGTGAAATCGTTAAAGTCAAATTTTTTAATTTATGTATTTAATGATGATGTGTTAGGAACTTAGCGTTGGTCTGGTTAAAAACATTGGTGATGACTTCTCCAAAAAGTTTCTAATTCTATTCACGATTTGTACTAAATCTATTTCTGATTCTATACACGATGTACATTGAAATTATTTTCAATTTAATTTATTTAATAAAACTATATCAAAGATATAAGTCACATATAACATATTCATTAATCGTACGTTTTATTTTAGAGTATATATCATTCGGCCAGTTTCTCATAGAACAATGTAATTGTTAATCTCTATATTTACATGTAAATATGATATGATCTGTATTTTACAAAAAATATGTCATTTGAAAATTATGTTCCTAATATTGTCATTAAACTTATTATATCTAGTGAGAATTTTTTCCAATAAAAAAATGTGAAACTTTTAAAAGTATACACAGAGTACAAATTCATAAAAAAAGAAAAGATGAGTCCTATCCCCGAGAGTCCCACATTACAAAAATGTGAAACTTTTAAAAGTATGCACAGAGTACAACCACATTATGAGTCTTATTTCGTGAATAAAAACATGAAAGTCTTATTTTGATACTTTTCTCTATGTTTTAGTCTTATTTAGGGTGATTTCAATACTTGTTGCAGATATCCTATACTTAACATAGTTGTTTTCTAACGCAGTTAGCACCTCCTTTCCTACACAGCACAAATTAATGTGGAATTTAAGGAGATGAGAGGTGCACATGCATATACGTGCCCCTGAATCCATGATTCAACGCTTGCCGCCAGCGGCCGGCCCCACACCCCAACTGTTGACCAGTATACTCCACTATATCAGTATGGAGTATCTTTGACATTTTACCTCCATATTCAATTATTATTGGTCTTTTTTTCTTTGACAAACTTGTTTGGTATGTTTTGAAAAAAATAAATAATTGGAGGGCTGAAATTTTCAGACCTATTTTTTAGGTTATATTTGGGGAAAATTATGTGTTTTGTCAGGTAAGAAACTAAGAACCAATCCTCCACACACTCACTCCAAAAAAAACAAAAAAATCCCAAATTACCCTAGTAAAATGTCCCCCTAAATTATTGGGCAAAATTCAAATTGCACTAAAAACAATTCGCGGGGCGCCACCCCAAACCCCGAACTATTCC